GGGGCGCTATCTTTGGAGTGTAATGTTTAGCAGCATTCCGGACTTCACCCACAGGTGCCAGTCCCACCACCCCCCTCCCCAGTTGTGATAACCAAAATGTCTCTAGCTATTGGCGATGTCATTCAGGGGGCAAAATCACCCCCAGCTGAACCAGTGATCTATTCCCAACCTCATACCCAACTGCTTCCCCATCTCTCAACTAACCCATACTCCAACTCCACAGTCCCATGGCCCAGGCCACACTGCAATCATCGGCATCTCCAAACCACTCTCCCTGCCCCCCACAACCATTCCATTCAACCATCCCCCCTGCACACGCCACATCTGTGCTCTTGTGTCCTCCCGACCTGTAGCATCTCGTGCCGGGAGATCTTGCCATCTCGATCCAGGTCGTAGAGCTGAAATGCAACTGGGAAGGAAGTGGAGGGGAAGGAAGGTGGGTTTCCTTGGTTCTCGGAGAGGTCATAAGGGGCTCACAAAGGGAGTAGGGGTGCCTGGGGCCCTCGCTGGTGTGGTACATCTGGGGTCTCACTTGGGGGGACCCTACCAACTCACAGCGAAGTTTGTTCATTCTGCTGTTGGGGGGTTCGGGTTCCCTGGGGTCCCGGGTTCCTGTGTCATCATCTACAGGTCGGAAATGAGCCAGGACTCTGGCAAAATCCACAAACTCCACTCGCAGGCTCCTGGGAGGGGGGGGAGGGGCAGTGGTTGCCTTGGCCCTTCTCCGCCCCCATCCCTAATCTCCCGCACCCATTCTCCCCTACCTACTCACCTCCCAATCTCCCCTCACCTATTCTCCCCCACCTACTCACCCCACCCAATCTCCCCCCAATCTCCCCCCAAATCTCTGTCTATAATGCGATCCCCCAGGGGGTTCACGGCCAGCGCCCCGATCTGCTGCAGGTCCACTCGGCTGGAAAGGAAGTTCCAGGTGGGCAGGGAGGGAGGGAGGAGACGGAAGACTGGGGGGTCCAAGGGGCACGCGGAGGTCACAGCCCCCCCGCCCCCCTCACCTCAGGTAGCCCTTCTTGTTGCTGTCCAGGGCCCGGAACCGGTGGTAGAGGCGGAGCAGGGTGGCCTGCGAGACTGAGGGCGAGGGCGGCGGG